CCTTTGTCTCAAAGAAAAATGTTAAACAACCACGAAGGAAAAACATTAAACAGTCTTAGGGGGATGCTAGGAGTGCTCTACCTATCTTGTTTTTTTTTTTTGTGTGTTTCCATCCCCACACTTTCCTTTGTTCAAGAAAAATAAGTGGGAGCAAAGAAATGACCGTAGTTCAGGTCTCATTAGAAGTTTCAGGAGCATAAAAGTGAATTGATGGAATAGAAAGTTGAAAACTAAGAATGACTTTATTTAAGGCTCTGTTTAATATGGTTGTGATTTTGAGTTTTTAGTTTTGATTTATTCAAACCATCAAAATTAACAATTAAAACTAAAATTAAAAATTAAAATTACCAATTTATTGGGTATGAAATTTTATAACAAATACCTAAAACTCCAAACTTAATTAATTTATTGAACTACTTAATTATATTTTAAGGTTTTTAAACTTTTAAAAGCCAAAACAAAAAACTCAAAATCACAACCATACTAAATGACTAACAGTAATATGTGAACGTTTTGTCAAGAAATTTCTGACATTATGCTCCACTTGCTGCTTCCTATATTGTACTGAGCAAGGACAGTTTTGCCTAGGAATGCTGTTAGAATTTGAATTTAATGTATGAAATGAGACATGAATAAATGAATTAATTGAATTGTCTTTGAGTTTGTGTAAGTTGTAACTATGTAAAAAGTACCTATGTTTGTAGTTTGAAGCATAAGTGCTATATACATGTTCTCTACTAGGTTTAAGGATTTAATTTTGAATGAAATGAATAAACTCACAATGAAGTAGTTCTTATGAATTTATTAATCCTAAATTGAGTAGTCTTTGCAAATTTAGTTTTGAGCCATTGTTACCAAGTTTAGAATATCTATTGGTTTTAAATAAGTAATTCTTACGGATTTCTTTATCTTGACTTGGGGATGGTCTTTGCATATTTACTCAGCCATTGTAGTCGGGTTGAGTGCGTTAGAGTTATCAGTCTTTCTTCAATGCCAATTAGACGTATTGTTTTGATCTTTCAAGTCATGTCAACCTTTTTAGCTTAAGTCATTTTGTAGGACAGAATATTTTTATTAAGCATTATGCATACACCACACATTGACTTTAATAAGCTTTGCAAATTTGGTCTTGAGCCATTGTTATCACGTTTAAAATTTCTATTGGTTTTAAATAAGCAATTCTTATGAATTTCTTTATCTTAAATTTGGGGATAGTCTTAGCAAATTTATTCAACCATTTTAGCCGGATTGAGTGCTTTAAAGTGGACAATCTCCTTTCATTGTCAATTAACTTATTGCTTTGATCATTCAAGTCACGTCAACAGTGACCAGTCTCCTTTCAATGTTAATTAGACGTATTGCTTTGATCTTTCAAGTCACGTCAACTTTTGTAGCTTAAAGTCATCTTGTAGGACAGCATACTTTTATTAAGCATTATGCATACACCACACACACATTGATTTGAATACTTTTTGTAAATTTAGTTTTGAGTTATTGTTACTGTATTTAGATTATTTATTGATTTTAAATAATCAATTCTTAATAAAACTTGCATACTAAAATGGTGGAAGCAAAAATAACCTAAAGAAAAATGATATTTATAGTATGTCTTGGAGTCAATAATTTGTTTTCTAACCCCAAAATCCAACAATTTACGAGTTCCTTATTCGATTCAAGGATAAGTTTCAATGGAGCTTATCAACTCACAAAAAAAGGTAGTTTCGAATTTCTTAAGCTCACTTGAATAGTCGTTGCAAATTTCCCTAGTCAATCTTTCCGGATTGAGAACATTATGGTGACCGTTGCTTAAGTCTTCTTGTTAGTTACATATCAGTATGTTCATCACTTACCTTTTCTTTGTAAATGCATTACAGATACTCAATAACGCGTTTTAATTTCTAGTTTCTAATTTCCACACGTTAATGACTGTCAACGTGTGGAAAGTAGAAAATTGTAGTCACACTTTTTGGAATTTTTATATATTTCAAAGAAAAATGGAAGAGGAAAGTGTCCTGCTTCTTGTTGAAAGTTATTTGGGTGATGGATTGGCCTTCCCTATAACGTCGTTTTACAATTTTTTACTTTTCACACAATAATGATTGTTAATGTGTGAAAAGTAAAATATTGGTGACTTATGTTGATGTTTATTCATATTTAATTATTAAATTAATACCAATGGTTTATTGGTTCAAGTGGAAGGAGGTTGGTTCTTCTTAAATAAGATCTCGAGTTTGAGTCTTGTGAATGGAGAAACAAATATTGAGAGAGTTTCCCTTCTAATGGGATTTGATGCAATTCGATTTCAAATTAATTAAAATTTAATATAGTTATCGAATACTGAGAGATTAATATTAAAAAAAAAAATTATTAAATTAATTATTTAAATTTGTCGTTTAGTGGAAAACTTGAAGGGAAGCATTTACCTTACTCGTCATAACAATAGAAGCACGTTGTTAAAAGAAGACAAAAAAGAACATGAATTTTTTTTCTTTTTTTGTTTTGGAACTGGGGAAACCTGAGGGTGAAGAGCGAGTGCTTGGGTTTGAACTAAGAACTTTAATATCTTAAACACCCTTCTTCTTAAGGGATAATTACTAGGTCAATTAGTGATGGATAAAAAAAAAAAAAAACATGAATTGTAGCAACGAAATGGCAAGAGAAGGTTTGAATACAGAATTTAGACTTCATCCTATATAAATCCAGAGCCATGGCAAGCTTGTCTCTAAAATAACATTTGTTTATTAATAAATTTAATTTTTAAAGTTAAATTTAATATTGTATAAAATGATTACATAAATAAATGACTT